ATATGAATATATAACATAGAATATAAAACAAAAGAATAATAAGAATAAATGATAAATAAAACAAGAAATGATGATAAATGATATAATAATAAAATCAAAGTATAAAAGATAAATTTAATATTAATATAAAACAAAAGAGAATAAATATAAAATGAAAATAGATATAAATGATAATAATATAAAAGATGAATAAACAAATAAACAAATATATCTAAATATAAAAGAATATAAACATAAAAATAAGAAAATCTAAATAATATAAACATAAAAATAATAAAATAAGAAGAATATAATAATATATAGATAATAAGAATAACACAATGATATAAATAATATAAACAGAGAAATAAATATAAAAATACGATAGATAAATAACATATAAATAAAAGAATAAAAATAATAAAAATAAATATGAATAATCAAATCATCTATTTCATTAATATTTCATACAAAATGAATACAAATGATCATAAAATATAAACATAAATATTTATATATTCTGTATTTTTCATATTTTTTTTTATTTTTTTATTTTTATTTAGGAGCAAAATATAATAAATGGAATATTCTATGGATGCAAAATATTTTGCATCTTTTTCTTTTTTGTAAATTATTTAGATGCATTTTTTCTTTGCTAATTTTCGTACCCAATTTTGTCTATTCATACACCTCCTCATAATAGTTTTGTCCATGTTGTTAATGACAAAGTTATAAGTGAAGAAGAGGCAAGAAGAATTACAATAAGTCCAAATGTAAATGAATTTATGATCAAAAAATGTCATAACCCAACTTTAGTTTCTCATATTAAAGAACTTTGAATATGATAACTATAAAAATTAACAATATGTTGCTAATGTATGCAGTTTATTTTAATTCATTTGTTTATTTTTTAAATAGGATTATATTGTTTCAATTATACTTAAAAATAAAAAGAAAATATAAGACTCTTATAAATAATCAAGCACTTGAAAAAGAATTAAATAATAGATATTAAAAATATTTAAAAGAAGTTTAAAAACCGAGGTTGTTTAAAAAACAAACAATCCCCAAAGTTATTAGGGTTATTTTTGCTGGTAGGATGTAACGTGTCTATCCAATGTTATTATTCAAGTATTGATTTCTTTAATAAAATACAGATATAACTAAAAGAAGTTAATAAAATTGTTTCAATTACTTCTATATCAAAAAAATATGCTAAAATTAGTTTATTCAATTAATAATCAAATTCATTAACTAAACTACTTCTAAAAACTGTTTTTAAGTATAAAATATATTAATTAAAGAATAAAAAGGATAATAAATATAGACCAATTTATTATTTGGTTAATTCATAACGAATAACTGTCATTTCATCTAATCTTAGTAACATATTAAATTTTTTAAAAATGTTATTTCATGAAGAATTATTGTTTTTGTTAGAAGTTACAATAAAACTAAATTTAGTCAACTTTGTTGGTATTATCATTTAAAAGATAAGAAGGTTGTGCCTGATTCTAATAATATTATTAACATAATAAAGTACATAAACATTAGAGTCATTGAATAAAAAGACTTAAACAATACAAACTCATTATTTAACCTTAAATTTTCCCAATCAAAAAACAAGTCCCTTTTCTAAAAGATAAGTCATGTTAAGTTATTACTTAGAATAATATCAATTCATTAACTCTTTACAAATTACTATTTTTGGATTATCAGAATGATAATAACAACTTCTTTCTTATTATCTTTTGTATTCTTTTTAATGAATTAAATAAATAATCAGCTCTAACTATTTTCATACTTATTCTAAATCATAGAATTGTCAATGAAACAATTTATTATTCTCTTATTATTTTATGAAATAGAAGTTATTCAGTCATTTCTTCTTCTATAATAACACTCCTTTTATTTCTCTTATAAACATTTTATCCAAGTATATACTTGTTCTTTTACAGAATAAGTCTCATTTACTAATTATTATAATACCAAGTTTATTTAATTGTTTTATGTTTTGAGAAGATACTTATCAAGAAGACTGATTGATTAAACCAAAAATAAATTTCATAAACCACTGATAATAGTATTACTGATAATAGTATTGTAGTTATTTTTAAAAAAAAATATCTTAAATAAAATTTTAATTTGTCTATCTCGTTTTGAACCAAATGACATATTAGCATATCATATTTTTACCAACTATTTTTCTTTAAAACATTGATCTTATTGAGTATCTGTGTTTTTTATTTAAAAAATTTATGGAATTATTCAATGAATTAATAAAAAAGAAGTATCAAAATTATTCTTTTATAGATAAAGGCGTATATTAAATATATGATATTTAATTTTCATTTTTTGGTATGACAACATGCCTCAAACAGAAGAAAAGGAAAATGTTCTATCAAAAAAGAAATCGTTACATATGTTGTTATTCTATCATTCCATTCAACTAGTATATATTTTTGATTATTATACTCTGTCTCTGCTATGATTTTGATAATAACAAGTCCTTTTGAAATACGAAATAGTTGAGTATTTTCTATTTCTTGATGAATATCTCTAAAAGGAATATCTAAGATCGAAACCCAACTATTTTCTGAGGGTAATAACCCTTTCCATTTAACCAATACCTTTGTATTTCCCTATTGTTGAGTACCATTAAAAAATTGATGGAAATAAATACAAACTTCTGAATCAACTTTTTTCTTTATTATTTGCTCAGGAAAAACAAAATTCATAAATTTAGTTTTTCTTCTATAAAAAAAAATTAAAAAAATTTTCTTTTTCATGTTCTAAAAATCAATAACCAAAAAAAAAATAGAAAAAGATCTTAAAAAAGCTATATTTTTATGAAGTTATTGTTCTTTGTATTAATTGCTTTTATTTTAACATTCACTAATGCTGAAGAAGACCTTGCATTAAATAATTATGATGAAATCGAATTAGAAGAAAATGGTAACGAAGAAGAAAATAACGTGGAATACGAAGATGATGATGAATATGAATTAGATGATGACGATGATGATGATGACGATGATGATGATGACGATGATGATGATGATGATGACGATGATGACGATGATGATGATGACGATGATGACGATGATGATGATGACGATGACGATGATGATGATGACGATGATGACGATGATGACGATGATGACGATGATGACGATGATGATGACGATGATGACGATGATGACGATGATGATGACGATGATGATGACGATGATGATGACGATGATGATGACGATGATGATGATGATGATGATGATGATGACGATGACGATGATGACGATGATGATGATGACGATGATGATGATGATGATGACGATGATGATGATGATGACGATGATGATGACGATGAATATGAATATGAATTAGAAGATGAAGAAGCCCCCAAAAATAAACAAAATGTCAAAAAAATCCAAACTATTAAAAAATTAGATAACATTAGATTACCAAGAAATAGATTAACTAGTGGTGTTTTATACCCAGGAATGGGAAGACTTGGTATGTATGGAGGAATGGATATTCCTCTTGGAAGAGGAATGCAATATGGACGTCATCACATTTTCCCAGGAATGGGATATGGATATTTCCCCAATGGATATCCATTAGGATATAATTACCCAAGTTATGGATATCATCCAAGATTTGCTCGTTACAGTCAATTCATGAACTATGATCCAATGAACAGTCCATATTATTAAAACAATAATTTATGTTCAAGTAATATTTTTGTTATTCTATGAAACTAAACTAAGTATTAAAAAATTAAGAAATAAAATAAAAGCATAGAATAAAAAACTAAAAAGAAAAACTTAAAAAGAAAATGAACCCGGAACAAGCCGCACTTCAACAATTCCAACAATTAAAACAAGACCAAAATGTGTTGGCTAGACAACTTGCTGATATGGACTCAACACTAAAAGAACATAAACTTGTATTGGATACTTTAAGTAAAGTTGAACCATCAAGAAAATGTTTCAGATTAATCAATGGGGTAATGGTAGAAAGAACAGCATCAGAAATTATTCCAGCAATTAACAAATCGATTGAACAAGTTTGTTATTATTTATTAATATTTACTATTTTAAATTAGAATTAATTTATATATAAAAAATCAAATAATTAATGAACAAATAGATTCAAAAATTAATGAAAGAGGTAAATGATAATATTGCTGCAAAAACTTCTGAAATTAATAAGTTTATGGAACACTATAAAATTCAACAAAGGGACCAGCCAATTATTGCTCAAGCATAACTGATTTCTCTTTAATGTTGATTCAATCTCTTGTTTTTTGATTTATTTTGTTTAAAATAACAAAAATGAATATATTGTTTTTAATAACCTTATTTTTAATATAAATTAGAAAAGATATCTTAAAGTCTGTTTCAGTGTTTAAAGTTCCTTTTTCTGTGGAATAATTCCTTCTTCAAAAATATCTAAAACATCTTCCATTGCATCAGTTAAATCAAAAGAATCATCGTATTGATAATTTGGACTTTCATTCTTAAAATTAAATTTCATTCCATTATAATGATAAAACACTACTTTTGGAAATCCTTTACTTTTTACTTCTTCTGACTCGCCGAATGTTTCAGTAAAAATAGGGTCAGAATCATCAGCAACAACTACAACAAATTTTGAAGTTCTTTTCATATAACCTTCATCATGATTAAAATCTAATACTTTTCTAATAGCATCATCAATAACGTTTGACTGTAAATAAATTACCATAATTGGCATTTCTCGTCTTTTTGCTTCAAGTAATCCATTTTCCCAATCACGAACATTAAGTCCTTTATAATCCATAGAACCCCACATACTTGAACGGGCAAATGCAAGTGTCAAAAGTAAACAAAATGATAACATGATTTAATGAAAATAAGATGGTGAAGTTTGCCATATCATCATTGTGTGTAATGTTTCATATTTTTTTGATAATTAAAAAAAAACAAAAAACAAAACTGTTATTTGAATAACACAAATAATGAACAATACAAACACATCTTTCAGTAAAGAAGAATTTGAACGAGCAAGGGGAAGAAGAGAAGCGTTTTCAAAATTAGAATATAACCAAAAAGATGAAACAAGGAGATTAGTAGAACAATTTTTAATTATTGGATCAAATAGTTCAGAAGATAGTGAAGCAGAAATTCTTTATAGATATCCAGACATTGATATTGAAAACTTTGAATATAAAATTATTTCATTATATTGTTTTCCTGAAGGATGTAAAACACAAAAAAAAGAAGCAACTTCAACTGAAGATTTATTTCAAATAGAAAAGAGTATTAAAGAAGGATGTGTTAATGTAAGTAACTTTTTTAGTTTAAAAATGGCAAGTCCAAAAAATGGGGTTGAAAGAAATGGATTATGTTTTTCAATAAAACGAATTGAAATTGATAAACAAAAACCATTAGTATATTATGAAGATGAAATTATTTATATGATAGTTAGTACAAGTTCATGTTATCTTCTTTTAATAGAATTTATAGAAGCATTAATAATGAATGAAAGAGATATAAATTGGTTTAACACAAATACTATAACCAAAAAAACATTTGAAAGTTATTTTAAACAATTTTTTAATTTACCTGAAAATTATCAACAAACAGTGAAATTATCATGGTGTAAAAATTTACTTGAAAATACTGAATGTCCTTTAGGATGTTGTTTATTTATTAGAGTTATTCCAGTTGAAGATTTAATAATTTTATTATCTGCATTAGTTTTACAAAGAAAATTATTAATTAAAAGTAAGAATAGATGTATTTTAAGTGGTGCAATATCTTTTCTTACTCAAGCAATTAAACCTTTTAGTTATGATTCACCTATAATTAGTGTATTAATAAATGACCTTTTTGATTTAATTGATTCTCCAACTCCTTTATTAATTGGATGTAGTTCTTTACCAAATGAAATTCCTGAAAATTCTATTTTATATGATATTGATGATAAATTTATGCAAAAATTCACTGATGATTTTATTCTTCTTCCAAATGCTAATGAAATTGCTTCTTCTATTGAAAGTATTAGAAAACCATTAAAAAATTGTAAAAACCATCCAACTCATTTTTGTTTAAAAGAACATAGTCAATATATTCAATGGGCATTACAAAAAATTCAAATTGAATTTAGATTAATGGTAGATAATTTCGATGATTATATTGAAACTTTAAAAGAACCAGGAAAACCACAAATTAGTTTATTTAGAAAAAAAGATTTTATTGAAGAAGCTGAACCAAAATATCTTCCTTTTTTAAAAGAATTTAGTAAAACTCAAATGTTTGAATCATTTATTAATGAAAAATTAGATGCATATGATTATGGTAAATAATACTTAACTCTAATATTTTATTTTTAAGAGAATTTTGATAAAACAATTTATTATCAGTTATTAAGAGATTTTTTGTTTAAATTAATTTTCTATTTATTATTATTATTTTATTCAAATTTTTTTTTTATTCATTTTAATTGAATTAATTAATTGATTTTTTCATTTAATAAAAATAAAATAATATTATACTTTCATTTATATTTTAAATCATTTTTATTTAAAATATTCATTCATTAATTTTATTTACTTTATTGTATCAATACTTTGGATTGTTTCATTTTATATAAATAAATTGTTTTTATTTGTGAAATTAAATATTTAAAAGTAACATCCAAATATTTTAATTAAACATATTGATTATCTATACATTAAGGTAATTTTTGTTTAATAAAACCAAAAATATCTATTTACTATACTAAGAAAAAATTATCGCTCAGATTTAAACTGGTTTATGATGTCTTCATACAATTTATTTTAAATTTACATTTAAGATAAATTTGCAGAAGCAGGACTGAATCATCATTGCACATTAAAATAAGAAAATCTTTTCAAATAGTTTAATGATTAAATAATAAAATAGAATTGTGGTTGAATAAAATGAAATTATTAAAAAATTATTAAAAACTATTAAAATTATTATTTCTTATCTAGGAATAGAAATAAAAGAAGAAGGAACTTCGTCGTATTTATCTTCAGTTAAAGAATGAAAGAGAGGAGCTGATAATTGATTTTTAATTACTTCAATTTGACTTTGTTGATTTTTTAATTTTAAAGGTGGAAGAATAATAAAATCAATTGGTGTTTTTCTTTCTTTTTGAAATTTATATTCTTCCATAGCCACATGATACATAGGACAAGCTTGTAATGAGTTTTTTAATGTTTTTAATCTAATAAGACTAGATAAATATTGTTGTTGTAATTTACTAGTATTTAATTTGAGTTGTTCTAATTGTTTAACCATTTTATTTATTGAATGTCTATTCTTTAAAAGAAGATTAAAAAAACTTTTTGATTTTTGTATTTTTTTAATATTCATTGAATTTGTATTTGGTTTTTGCTTGTTATCTTCTTCTCTATCTTTTGAAGATTCTAAAACAAAAGGATGATTTCCTGAAAAAGTATTTGGCTCAATAACCATTACATTGTTATGTTGTGTAAATGCTGATATTGGACATAAAAGAGTCTCTTCTTTGGGTGGTAATAAGTTCATGAAATTTAATTTTATATGTTTAATGAGATTATCCTTCCCTTTTTTATTTAAAGGATTTTTTTTACTATTTCTCTGATTCTTCTTAATTCAAAGAAAAAAGTAACTTGTAAATGATTTTAAAGAATAGAAACCAATTTCTTAGTTCTTCTTAATAAAAAAAATATAAAAAAAAATATAAAAAAATAGTATTAAGAATATAAATAAATTATTAGTTTATGATAGAATAAATAAATAATAAATTATAGTATTTTATTAATAAATTATTTAGGTTACTAATTTTTTATTTTATTTAATATTTACAATGAAATAAATATTATTATTTAAATTAATATTATTATTTCTAATAATTATTTGAAATTAAATAAAAAAAGAAGTTATTGAATAAAAACAAAAGAATAGTAAAATAGTTTGTTTTTATTTCAATTTTAATCTTTTAAACAATCAAATTAATTAAAAGAACATTTTCACTATTAAATTATTTAAGATAAAAAAAAAATACATTTTTTAAATAATTAATTACAATTTAAATTACTTTCAAAATAAATAAAAAAGAAATTTGATTCTATTTTAAATCAATCCAATTTGTTAATTAAAAAATAATAAAAATAATTAAAAATAATTTACTAAATAAAAGAACATTAAATAGCAAATAATACTCATCAAAGAAATTATTAATAGTCACCTAAATAAAGAAGCATTGAAGCATTTGTTCTTAAGAAATCAAAATTTTTTTCATAACCTTTCTTGAGTCGTTCACTTTCCATATGAACAATACAAGAATTGAATTGCCTCAATAATGAACGATTTAAATTCCAAATTTTTTTTTCATCAGAACGTTCATTAACTAATTGTAATTTACAAATCTTTTGATATTCACTAAATACAATAGATGCACGAATACATTTTCTTCGTTTACAAATTTCAATTGACCTTCCTTCTTTATAAAATTGTTGAACTATTTGTAAAACTAAATCATATTTAACTTCAAAAACAATTTCTTTTGGAGCTTTACTGAGGCTAGTATTTGAAAATATTAATTGGTTTGCTTTACAATTAATATCTGAATTTTTAATGAGATTAACTTTCTCTTTATTTGGTGATTGAACTATTGAAGTATTGATTAAATCACTTGAAATTCCATCTTCTTTTTGTTTGTCATCTTGAGGTTGAGTGGCTTGCAAAACTAAATTCTTTTCTGACTTTGTTACAGTTTTCTTTCTTTGTCTAGTAGATCTTTTAATTTTACTTTCTGTAATGATATTTAGTTCCGTTTGAGACTCAGATTCAGTTCCATTTGCTAAATTTTCCGTTGGTATTTGTGTAGATATTTCATTTGGAACTTTTCGTTCAGGTTGAAGTATTATTTCTTGTTTAAGTTGTTCTATTTCTTTTTCATATTGACTAACTTTTAATTTCATCATTGAACTTTCGTATTTCATTTGTAATTTTTCTGTTCTTTCTTTTTCAATAAGAGTTTGTTTCTCTTCTAACTCTTTTTTTAATTCAGTTAATTTTGTTTGATATGAATTTTGATCTTCGTCTATTTTGCTTGCATACTTTAAACATGTTTCTTCATATTTTTTTGTTAACTCATCTAAACCCGTTTTTAAATTTTTATTTTCTTGTGTTAATTGTTGAATCATACTTTCTTGAAAGAGCGTTTTATCTTTAAGTAGCAATAAGTTAACGTAGTCGTTGATAGAAATTTTAATATTTGTTTGAATGTTCATATCTTTTTTGTTTTATTCAGTTCTCTTATTTCTAAATATTCTTTCGTTGGTTCTTCTTTTTAATTCTTTATTCTTTATTTTCTCTTTAAATTTCATCAGATTTTTCCTTTTCTATCTTATTTTCTTTATGTCTCATTCATTTAACCCCAATAACCACTTTTCTTATTGATTTTCATTCTCGTAGTATTTAGAGTATAGTGTTCTTTCTTTCAACTGTTAAAATATTCATTTCTCTAATACTTCAACAGTACTTGTTAAGCTAAAATGTTATTCCAAAATAATGCCACAAAAAATTACTATAATTATACTTATATGTTATATATCTCAAAATAATTTAACCTTTTAGAAAAATAAGAAATTCTGGGAATGGAAAAAAGCACGAAAATAGTTGAAACAAATTAAAAGAAGATGGAACACGTGGTATAAAATAATCAAAAAACAAACAGAAATGATATAAAAAACTTATTAAAAAGAAGCTTAAAGAACAGACTTTGATTGAAGAATTTGTAACGAGGATAAGAGGTATAAAAAGAAGACAGGAACTTTACTAAACTTGATAATCATTTGTCCATGTTTTGTTGTAAAAAAGCTGATAAGAACGATTATGAAGATGCAAAGCAAGAAGACAAAAAGGAGGAATTAAAGAAAGAGGAAGATAAACAGGAAGAAAATAAAAAATCAGAAGAAAATAAAAAAGAGGAAGTGAACGAACAAAATAAGGAAGAAAAAGAAAGTGTTGAGGATAAAAAATCGGAAGAAAAAGAAAGTGATGAAGACAAAAAATCGGAAGAAAAAGAAAGTGATAGTTCTTCATCTTTAACCCCAACAACGGAAAGTGAAAAAAAAGAGGTTATCGAAGAAGATAAAAAAGAAGAACCTAAACAAGATGAACAACCAAATGAAACTAATGAGAGTGATAAAAAAGAAGAAAACCCATCTCCTGACAGTATAAAAGAAGATCAAAAACAACAACCTTCTGATAACGAAGAACCAAAAGCAGAAGAGCCAAAAGCAGAAGAACCAAAGGAAGAAGAACCAAAGGAAGAAGAACCAAAGGAAGAAGAACCAAAAGCAGAAGAACCAAAAGCAGAAGAACCAAAAGCAGAAGAACCAAAAGCAGAAGAACCAAAAGCAGAAGAACCAAAAGCAGAAGAACCAAAAGCAGAAGAACCAAAAGCAGAAGAACCAAAAGCAGAAGAACCAAAAGCAGAAGAACCAAAAGCAGAAGAACCAAAAGCAGAAGAACCAAAAGCAGAAGAACCAAAGGAAGAAGAACCAAAAGCAGAAGAACCAAAGGAAGAAGAACCAAAGGAAGAAGAACCAAAGGAAGAAGAACCAAAGGAAGAAGAACCAAAGGAAGAAGAACCAAAGGAAGAAGAACCAAAGGAAGAAGATCCAAAAGCAGAAAATAGTTCAACTGAAACTGACTCTTCGTCAACTATTTCTTCCTCAAGTAGTAAATCAGATACAAGTGATAAACAATCAAGAGATTTGAGTGAATAATAATACATTTATTTAAAATATTTTTATTTTTTTTATGGAAATATTTTGTTGTTTTATTAAATTATTTTATTTCTTTCTATTTTTTAGAAAGGCAAAAAGATTTTTGTAGTCTATTCTATATTTAGAAAGAAATAGAATATCTTAGTTCTTGTAAATAATGAAGGGGACTGATATGCATCGTGATGAATTCACTAGCATGAGTATTGGAGATCTTGTTGGTTCAAAACGAGTTTATGAAGAAAGAATTAATACTATCAATAAAGAAAATGAAGCACTTAAGGCACAGATTGAAAATGAAAAACAAAAGAGATTAAAAGCAGATTCCCTTAAAGAAGAACAAATAAAAGAAAATCATATTTTAAAACAGATTATTCAAGAAAAAGAAGTTGCAATAAGTAGTATGGAAGGATCTATCAAAGTAGCTACAGGTGAGAAAAATGCATTGAAAAAACAACTTGATGTAAAAAATGGAATGCTTAAAGAAAAACTAGATGAAGCATCTCAATTGAAATTGAGAATGATAAAATTAGAGAAAAAGAATGATAAAATAATTCAAATGTTAGACCAAAAAATGGATAGTATACTCAACAAAACAGATGAATCATTGAAAACAATTGAAATTATTCAACGAAAAGATATTTCAAAAGAAGTTCTTGATTGTTTTGAAGAAAGTAAAGAAGAGATGGTCAATTCATTTGAAAAGAATAGTGGAGAGATTGAAGAAATGAAAGAAAGAATCAATGAAATGAAAGAAGAACAATCACAAGAAAGACAACAACAGAAGGCATTATTAGAAATACATAAAGTGATTATTGAACAAATGAAAGAAGAAAGACTAAGCTTAATTAATGGAATTAAAGGAGCTCTTGGAATTGAAAAAGAATGTAATATGAATGACATTATTGAAGAAGTTATGAAACTAAAACAAAAAAAGATCATAACAGATTTAGAAAATAGAGAGTTGAAGAGAGACATTGAAAGAATGGGAAAAGAAATAGAAACTTTAAATGAAAAACAAAAAGACTATGCAGAGGTTATTTGTTTAGCAGAGGGAATATTAAAAAGAGAATTAAAGAAGTAATAAATCTATTCTTTATTTTAATACTATTGGTTATTAAACGGCATTTATAATGTTTAGTTTTGATGTTTTACTAATTAAAACAAAATAATATTTGCTGTATTTTATTTATGACATAATATCATAAATTTTCATATATTATTTTCTATTTAAATTTATAAAATATTCTAATTGATCAAGAAAATTAGTGTTCTTTTATTCTTGACCATCTAAAAAAATGAATCGAATATTCATTAGTATTAATCACATCAACTCCATCAATATCATCTCTTTTTTCTTCATATAGATTTATATCATGGTAACTATCATAATGATTAAATTCATTGGTTTTCTTATATTTGTGAAAACTAAACATAATACTATTTCAAGTAATAATATAGTTCATAAATATAATACTTTGATATTCATTCTCAAACATACAACTCTACCTAATTTTGTTTATATTTAAAGTTATCAAGAATTTATGATATTTCAATAGGAAATATTTTTGATTTTATTTCATAAGATAATAATTTATTTAGTTTCATTACTGAAGTTCATATCAATTTTATATTTACATTATTAAAATAAATATTACTTCAAAATCTCATTGAATGAGTTTGTATATAAACTAATATAATTTAATAAGACTACTTATGTATTAAAAATAGAGAATATTTGACATTAATGAATGTTTTGAAGAAGTTAGAGTATTTAATATTATTGTATATTATGTTTCTAAAAAAAATAAGAGAAGAATTGATAAATAATAAATACACTAAAATTAACAGTATAAACTAAGCAGAACAACTCTTCATTTATTAAAGACATTTATTTCTCTATTTATCATTCTTTTATACACTAAGGTGGAAATAGTCTAAACAAAAAAATAAACTAATAATGCTTTCATAAGATTGTCTTTTGAGTCAAGACTATAAATAAAGTATTAAGTTCAATTCTTCAAACAATAAATTTAAGTTTTTTTTTCATTGAAAAAGAATCATTTAAATGATAAAAAAGAAGAACAAGATGCTTAATTATATCTAAAATTGATATATTTCTACAACCATTCATTAACATTAAAAGTTTTCATTGCATCAGTTATACTTAAATGAAAAATCTTTGACCGAATTTATTGACTGAAGAAAATAAGACAATAATTATACTGTAGGCTTCCAAATAATTAGAGTTAAATCCTTTCTTCATAAAATATATTTTAATAAAAACTTCTTAATTTTTTGATAATATAAACATAGCTTAGAACAATTATAAAGTTTATTTATTTATTACTGTTTGAAATTGATTAAGGCTTATTTTTATTCATGTAATATTAAAATAAATAGTAAATATTTCTACTTTACATATCATCAAACATTATCTTTATTAGTGGATAATGGAAGAGAAGGATATTTACTTTGTTATTCATCTCTTTGTTTTTTCTGTTAAAATTCAAAACTAATTTTTTAACAAGCAATAATAATTAACTAATCAACTTTTCTCTTGGTGGTACGACAGCAGATCCATTTAATAATATTAAGAAAGGAGAGGATTAAAAACACAAAGAAAAAGATAATTATGAAGAAAGTCACTTGTGCTGGTAAGACTCCAATTAAGGTATCAATAACTAAACATGAAAATGCTGTACAGTCCCAACTTGTTGTTTCAACTTCTTTGTCAAACTTCTGATATGACTCTTTAAATGATTTTCTTAAACCCATTAATTCCATAACTCTAACTGCAATATCTGGTCTATCAGTCATAACTCCTTGACATCCATTAGAAAGACAATTTGCAATATCATAACCATTGTTAATGGTGAATAATACTAATTTTACTCCAAGTTCTTTTGCAATAACCTGAAACTTTTTGTCATTAAAATTGACACCTCCAACAGAAGTAAATGGTGCTTGAATAATATGAGCTTTAAGTGGGAAGAAATGATAGTACAGACGAGGTATACCTAGATTAACTGATACCATTAATTGAATAACTTCATGTTCACTAGCAACTGTACAAAATGTATTATTTGTAAGTAACCTAAAACGTTTAATAACGTTGTGCCATCCTGAAGAGAAACAAATGAACTCTTTTGCTTTTGGCATTGTTCTTAAACGTTGTACAAGAATATCAACAACTTTTGGATCTTCGTTTTTTATTTCAATACTAAACTTTAAGCCTGAATTAACAAATGAGTCATAAACATTTTGAAGAGAAGGGACTTTAAGTCCTTTTCCTCTAAATGGGAACGTTTTTCCATCTGGAGAATATCTATAACCCGCATCAAGTTGTTGAATTTTATTAAGTGTATAATAACTGGCATTACCCCTTCCATTTGTGGTACGATCCAAAAAATCATCATGAAGAATAATAAAATTATTATCGGCTGTCATCTGAATATCAGTTTCAATCATATCAACATTAAATTGTTCATATGAATCTTTCATTGCCTCAATAGTATTCTCTGGATAATAGTAAACACCCCCACGATGAGAAACAAGTAATCTCTCTCTAGGTAAATCAACTGGATTTGGTTTTGTTGCTTTTAATGGTGGAAGGTACCAGTTTAATGATAATATAATTATCATTAAACACAAGGATATTGTTATAGAATGATAACAAACTCCCATTTCTTATTGTTTATATTAAAAAAAATAGATTATTTCATATAAATATAAAACTATATTTAATTATTATAATAATATTTATATTTAATGAAAAACTACTGATTTAAAAGAAAAAATCATATTTGATTGATGAAAAGATTAATTATCTTTTTTGTTATTCTTCTTGGAATAAAATCCCAGAGAGTATATCCATGTGATGATGGGTATGGAATTATTGACGACAGATGTACAATATGCCCTAATATGACATCTTCTCGTGGAGATAAATGTAAACCATGTGATGATGGATTATTTACACTGGAAGAAAAAAGTAGTTCATGTCAAAAATGCAATAACCCACTACAATATTTTGATGGTGAACATTGTGTTGAGTGTGAGCCAGGTGCAAGAGTAATTTCTTCTCATAAATGTAAAAAGTGTGAAGTTGGGTCATTTTTTAATAGAGAGACAAAGAAATGTGAGTATTGTCCGATAGGGACATACTCAGATATAGAGGGACAACAAGACAATTGTACAGTATGTCCTGATATGAAAATCACTTTTAATGAAGGCAGTTCACAATGTTTTTATTGTCCAGAAGGGACATATTATGAACAAGGGCATTGTTATAATTGTCCACAAAAATATGTATGTACTAACAGTGAAATGAAATTATGTAGTAATCATCAGTTATGTGTTCTTTCAACAGTTGTTAATTGCTCAATTTTTGGGACACCAAATTATGAGGTATATAAATGTGAAAAGAATGTATTGTTTTACATAATGATTTCTGTCTCATTAGTAATTTCTATGATTGTAATAGTTGTTGTTGTAATTATAACTTTAGTTGTTATCAGAATCCACAAAAAGAAAAAAGCAGAAATGGAGAAGAAAAAGAAGAACATTGAGATGTCTGAAAATGATCGCAAGAAATTGATTAAAATGTATCTAAATTAAAAAAAAATTAATCAAATAATTTGTCATTTTTTTATTTTGAGTCAGTTTAAGTTAGTTTGATAAATAAAGAACAAAGTTAAAAGAAAGGTATTTATAACTAACCAACTCTACCTTAAATACAGAAATTTAGGAACGAGATTTCCCCATAAATCACTTTGAAAAATGGGGAAATACACAATAATACCAAGTGAATAAAAAAAAAGAATAAAAAATGATGATGTGGTGTTTTTAGAAGATAAAATGACAAAGAAAAAATGAAGCGAGAAATTTGAATTTTTAAGTGGTTTGATTAAAAAAAGAGTTGAATAAAGGTTCACTCGAGACTAAAAAAAGTGAAAGAAAAGGGGAAATTCACTACTTTTCCCCATGAAACTGAATGAAAGCCACTTTAATGATTAATAAAAGACTATATTTAAAGAATCATCTCAATAAACTTAAAAACATATCTGACATATAAAATGACTAATCCATTTACTGATGTTGATATTAATTCATTTAAAATTAATAGGTCAATTGCTTCAAGTGAAGAAAAGAAACCAAAACGACATTCTCTTAAATATAGTGTTGAAGCTGAAAAAAAGTTTCCTAAAATTCGTATTTCTCAAAAAGACTATAATCGTCTAAAAGATATTCAAGAAAGATTGCATTGTAAATCTTTTGGTCAAGTGGTTATTCGTTTACTTAATTGTTATAAACAACAAATAACTACAATTGAAAATCAAATGTATGTACAACAACATTAATATTTTTTTGTAATTTATTTCTCTTCTTCCACTTATTTTTAACGTCTTTTTAATGAATCTGCAAAAAGATATTTATTTTCTATATTTAATTCATTTATTTTATTCTATTATATTCTATTTTGTTTTTTTTTTATTTATCTGTTTATAATTTTAGCATTTTTAATTTATATTTCATTCTTTTTTGTATTATATTTAACCATTTGTAAAGAATATTTTCTATTAATAGAAACATAGAACTAATTTTAATAAAAACTATCAGTAAAATACTAACTATTAATTATAATACTAAAACCATTAATATATTATTTTCATCTATTGATTAAATATTAGTTAAGGTATTAAGGAAGGTTCAACGAGTAAAAAATGATTTTGTCTATAAATAAGAATATCGGTGAAGATTAGTTTTTTTTATTTAAATTATGTTGAATCAATGGATTTCATTCTTCATTTTTTTTGTAGCACTAATGATGATAAAGTTATAATATAATAAAGATATGCTAATTAATGAATAAACATATAAGAAGAGAAGTTATTTTATTTCAAAAATATTTAAGATAATATGAAATGTTATTGATACTGTAAGTTATTGTTATAGAAAAAAAAATTAAATTACTTTCATAAGATATTCATTAGTTGTATAAAAACAAATATCTAATAGAGAAGTAAGAAATTTAAAAAATATTGAATAAAGTAACATTATTATAATGAGTAAGAAATAAAAGAAAACAAGAAAACTAAATCATTAAGTCAATTAGATTTTAATTAGATAATACATAAAAATTAATTAATTAAGTATTAATAGAATTGTCATATATTCTTCCTAGTTTAGCGGAGACTAATCTCTTCGCTGTTTAAAAAAGAGTAATCTTTTTGTTTAACCTATCATTTATGTTTTTCTTGCAAAATGAGAAAATCACTTCTTTGCTTTATTTCTTCTTATTAAAGTTTCTCAACCTCCTTCTACATATTCCTTCTTTTTAATCCTTTGTTTGTTTTCTGCCTTAATTTTAAACATTTTCTTTTTCCTTTTTTCTTTATTTTATGAAAGAGAGAAGAGAGTATTTCATTACTACTATATTACTTTGACTAATCTTCTTTTAGTCTTACCCACACTTCATTGGATTCTTATATTACACCATGTAATATTCTACCATAATATCTTGCTACACCCTTTGCAGCTTTACCTAATACATTTCTAATTCAAATACACTGTCATAACCAGAAAATAACTGGGAGATTCAAAACATGAATTATATTAATGTTTGTATTTGGTGTTTCAGACATGCTACCTTCTATATTTTAATTTAATTAATTTTAATACATGTTAAACTATTTAAATTTTAATTCTTATATAATGAAACGAAAATAATAATAGAATATATATAAAGAAGAAATAGGAATTACATTTTTTGATATTATAAATTCAGATGATTAAAATCTCTTATAATAATTTATCATTTCTAAATTTTTTGAATAAAAAACTAAATGATACTAATTGTTTCATTTGTTTTAATCTTTTCAAAAAAAACTTATAAACTTCATTTGCTTCATGATAACTCTTGATATTTATTCTCTTCAAATTGTTACTCAATACCTAACAAGTAAATATGATTTTATAAATATTATTCAAACTACTAAAAAATACATGTTTATTTTAGATAGATTTAGAATAAATCCAATTAGAATTACATCATTTGTAAAGAATTTATTTCATTTTTTAGATACTCAAATTGTTTATTATGAAAATGATTATATTATGCAAAGGGTTGTTAGATTAATTATTCAATATCCTGTTTCTTATTCAAACATAGCTTCAATAACAAAACAATATAAAGATGTAACTTGTATTTTCAAGAATATAGTTTTAGACTCTCTTAATGGTTGTAATAAAAAAATAATTCCTAAAGAAGTTAGTATTCTTGGAGATAGTTGTTTTGAAGGAGAAAGGATTAAGGTAATAACAATACCAAACACAATAAAAGAGATTAGAACATCTTGTTTTTCTGAATGTGGAATTAGGAGTATAAAGATTCCAAATTCTGTTACACAAATAAAATCATTTGCTTTTTCAAATTGTAGGTCTTTAACAAAAGTTGAATTACCTTCATTTCTTACTTCAATTGAAAATAATGTTTTTAAAGGATGTGTTAAATTAAAAGAAATTGATATTCCTAATTCAGTTAGCTCTCTTAGAAATGGATGTTTTTCTGAAAGTGGTATAAGAATGTTTGAGATTACTTCACAATTTCAATTTATTGATGAAAATATTTTTTGTATGTCTTTATTAAGAAAAATATCATTTACTGGAGTGAAACAAATTCCTAATGGAATATGTAGTGGATGTTTTCATCTTACTAGTGTTATAATGGATGATGTAGTAGAATGTATTTTTGATTGTGCATTTGAACAATGTATTGAACTTAAAAATATTAATTTTTCATCTAATTTAAAATTTATAGGAAATAGTGCATTTTTTGGATGTGCATTTAATAAAATTATTCTTCCAGATAATTTAGAATTTATAGGTGAGTTATGTTTTGCAAATTGTAAGAATTTAACTGAACTACGAGTTTTATCAAAACAATGTATCATTGGAGATAGAGTCTTTTTCTCAGACATTAAATTAAAAGTACTTGAACTTCCATTAAAAGATGGGAAATATACTTTTCCAGTAAGTAAAGATGAAAAGAAAATATTTAAAAGAAATGGAATAGAATGTATTAATATTCTACTTGATCAAGAATATGTTGAACCAATTGAATTATTAAATACAAATAAACAAATTAGAAATATTCAAGAGTTTGGAGAGTCTATGTCAACATCTATTTGTATTTTAAATTCTGCATATAGACTTGATGGTAATTTATTGAGTTCATGTTATTGTGAAGAAATGATTTTTCCAAAAGGAATTATTAAAATTGATGATAGTTATATACCATCACCAAATCTTACTAAGATTGTATTACCAGAATGTATTGAAGTTTTACATCAAGAACAAATTGGTTATTTAAAAGGGCTTAAGATTATTGAAATTCCTACTTCTGTTACTAGAATAGAAAAATGGTGTTTTAATGCATTAGATAAATTGGAGTCATTACAAATTCCTTCTTCTGTTAAAATACTTAAAAATGATTTTATTATTGATTGTTCTTCATTAACTGAATTAAATTGGAATAATAAAGAACCTATTATGAAAGAATCATTTAATTATTTAATATATACTCAACTAAAAAAATCAAATATTCATTTCACAAAATTTAATTTAAATGGTTTAGATGGAATTGATCCACTTCATTTCACTATTACTGAACCTATTGTATTTCAACAAGATGATTTTAATGAACAAATTTCTAAATTTACAATACTCCCAAATAATCTAATAGAAATTAATGGATCAAATACAATAAATGAAACTTTAACTTCAATTACAATCCCTTCTTCTGTTACTTCAATAGGTAAATATGCTTTTGTTGATTTTATAAATTTGAAGGAGATATATTTACCTGAAAATGAAATAGAATTTGATGACTGTATGTTCAAAGGATGTACTTCACTTAGTGTTATTAAGTCAAAAAACCCAAAAAATCTTCAAATAAACTTTCACAGTGAAATTATAAACATATTAAAAGATTTTGGATATAATTTTCAATATAATAAAAGGGTTATTAAAAACTATCATCCATCTAATTATTATGAAGAAAATTATTCAATACAAAACTTTTGTTTAACTAATGTACAATCAATTGATAATGAAGCCTTTTTTTATTTCACTACTATTACTCATATATCTTTTTCTAATGAATTAATATCAATTGGAGATACTGCTTTTAGACAATGTTCTATGTTGAAAACTATTCAAATTCCTTCAACAGTAACATTTATTGGAGAGTCATGTTTCGAGTGTTGTTCATCTTTATCTTCAATAAAAATTGAAAATCCTTTTGTTGATTGTGGAAACTATTGTTTTAGTCATTGTGTTGGTTTAACTTCAATCCCATTAATATATAAACTTAGTGTTGGTATCTTTGAATATTGTGAATCGCTTCAATACATTTCATTATTGGATGGTGTTAAAGAACTTTCTTCTGGTTGTTTTAGTCATTGTATTTCTCTTAAAGATATTTCAATTCCACATAGTGTGACAACAATAAGAAGATATTGCTTCAGTGAATGTTTCTCTCTTACATCTATAGACATTCCAGCAGAAATAAAGTTGATTGAATTAGGGGCTTTTTATGATTGTAAAAATCTGAGAAAAGTTATAATGAAAAATGAACATATTGAACTTGGAGATCATTTGTTTGATGGCTGTACTTCACTTGACACTATTTCAATTAATGGTGTTTGTATTAAATCAATTTACATGGAAACATCTTATTCACAATACAAATACTTTCATTCAAAAGGAATTAATTGTAAAAGAGTTTCATTAAGTCGAAGAGAAAGAATCGAAAATGGATTTTTTGCTGTGATGAATAAAAATATAGTTAGAATAGATGAATGTTGTTTTGGTGGGTGTGTTGAATTTACTAAACTTACTATTCCAAGTAATATCACCGAAATAGGATCTTTTTGTTTTAAAGATTGTCTCAGTCTTCAATCTATTGTACTTCCGTCTTCAATAACTTCAATACCACCTTATTGTTTTGACAATTGCACTAGTCTAACTTCAATTGAAATCCCTTCTACTATTAAAAAGTTTGGTGATAAATGTTTCAGTGGGTGTGTATTATTAAAAAATGATAAAATACCTAATGAATGTTTTAAAACAGTTAATATTGAAGGGGTTGAAGAAAATAATAACTCTCAGTACAACAGTGAAGAAGATGGGATTGAAGAAGATGGGATTGAAGAAGATGAAATTGAAGAAGATATTGTGGATGATGAATTGTTTTAATAGGACGTTTACTCGAAAATATTATTTCCTGTTTTATGTTATTACAAATCTTTTTCAAATAGAAGTTTTAGTTTGACTAATAAAAATAATTGAATTACATATATTTTTTATTTAAGTCATCTTGTCAATTAGTTTTTTGTTAAGACTCAGAATGTTAATTAATTAATTATAACCAGAAAACTTTCTCTTTCAAATACACATCAGGTTATAGGGTTTATAATAAATTGTATTATATTAAAGAATATAACACTTTATTTAAATATTGAAATGTATATCATCATTTTAGTCTTATGATTCCAACAAAAAAAAATGAAAACGTAACTTATAAGTGGTGATAATAATAAAGATGTGATAGTTATTGAAACATTTTATTTAAAGTTATAAATAAAAATAAATATTTTCAATTAGAAGAATAAAAATGTAACAGCAATACCAAGCATAATAAATGTACATAACGCACTATCAATATTCTTGTGATTGTTTAAATCATCGTCTGATTTACTTTCTGAACTATCGGAACTACTTGTTGTTTTATTGTCTGTTTCTTTATTTCCTTTATCTTTTTGTCCATTTTGATTATTCATTCCATCTTTTTGTTCATCAGTTCCTTTACTGTCTTTTCCATTTTCTTCACTATCTCCTTTACCATCATCCTTTTTATCTTCTCCAGTTGGTCCATCTTTATTTGGTTGTTCTTTTTGTCCATTATTTGGACTTTGTTCGGTGCTTCCTTTATCATCTTTTCCATTTTCTCCAGCACTTCCATTTTGCCCTTCTTTCCCTGATGTATTAGAACCATCTGTTCCCTTATTTTCTTGTTCATTATTATCAGCTGATCCAGGTTTTTCACCTTGTTGGCTTTGTTCAGAACTTCCTGTTCCACTATCTTTTGTAGATACTTCTCCTTTTCCTGTTTTGTTATGATCTACTGTTTCATCTTTTTTAGTGTCTCCTTTATCTACATTTCCTGTATTTTCTGTATTTGTTACTGGATTTGTATTTCCATTGTCATGACTATCTGCTGCTTTACCATCTTTTTCTTCGGTTTCTTGTTTCGCTTTTTCTGGACCTTCATTATCATTTGTTTTACCAACTCCTGAAACTTTACTGTCTGTGCCTTCTGCTTCAGTGACTCTTTGTGCGTCTGTTTTTGTTTCAGTACTTTCTGTTTTTTTATCACCTGTCTCTGGTTGTCCTGTTATACCACTTCCTGTCCCTTTATCTTCCTTAGTTATTGAACTTCCTCCTTCAGCTATTGTTTGTTTACTTTCTTGTCCAACACTAGTTGCAGTACTTTCTTTGCCATTAATTGCTTGTTCATTTTTTTTACTTGGTGTTCCACTTTCTATATTTGATTCTTGCAACTCTTCTTTGGGGTTTGACACTTTTTGATCACCAGTTGTTCCAGCAGTTGGTTCTTCTGCTCCTTTATCCGTTGTAAGTTTCTCATCTACACCAGTTTCACCTTTTAAATGTATATTATGTAGATTAAACAGTCTTTTGTGTTGTTTTGAATATATTTGTGTGTGTGTATTACTTTTGTATTGTTAATAATTTCTGTTGCATTAGTAATTACAATAAACAATAGAAATATAAACATTGAATGAAATGTATTTCAGTTCTTCTCTTTAAATATACTCTCTTCTTTTTCTATTATTATCTTTTATTTTCATTTTATTTCTTAATGACTCGACTATTTCATTCTTCATTTCATCATATCATCATATTATTGTATTTTGAACTTCAACAATAAATAGAATGAAATGAAATAGTAAATTGAAATTCACTTCATTTTTGTAATTTATTCAACAAAATTAAATAAACATTCAATTTAATAAATAAATCATAAACAATAACAACAATAATGAATGAAATGAATAATAATTTCAATTCATAATTCAAATCATTATTATTTTAAGAATATATTCATCATTTATTGATTATTCATTTTAACTTGTTTCTTATTCTAATTTTATCATAAAATGATTCAAATGAATAAAACAAGAATATGAATAAGAGTAATAACATGAACAAATGATTATTTAGTCAATATTAGAATTTATTATTTGATGAATATATTAATTATTATCAACATTTTTGTATTAAAACTCAAACACATAATTTGTTGATAATAATTTATTTGGTTTTGTGTTTCAAGTCAACCATGATAATATAAATATAAAGTAACACAGACTATAAAACAAAGTTATAAATATAATGATAAAATGTATATTAATTTATAAACAGTTGATAAATAAATGATCAAATAAAGTTAATTTATAAGCAATAAGTAATGATACAATATATAATGAAAAAAAATGAATATAACATAAAATAAAAACATAAAAACAAAAGATAATAAGAAATAAGAATGATGAAATAATCCAAATAATTCAAAATAAAAGATGATAAAGAAAGAAGAAATGAAATAAACAAAAGAATTATATAATAAAGTATATGAAAATAAAGAATGAAAAGAATAGAAATAAAATAAGAAATAGAGAATAAGAATAAACATAAATATTTTAATACTAAATAAAGAGAATAATAAAGAAAAGAAATAAGAAATAAAAATATCAATTAAAAATAAATGGATATAATATAAAATGATATAAATACAAATGAAAAAGCAAGAATAAAAGAATAAATATGAATAATAATTAAATCTCAATTCAAATTAAATACAAAATAAATGATGATAATTTTATTAATTATATAATATCATTTCACTAATTAATTCTTATATTATTTAAAATATTCTTTATTTCTGTTAGTCTTTATTTTTTATACAAATGTATCATTTTATTTCAATTTATCTGTAATGTAGTATTTCTTATTCTTCTTTTCTTTATTAAAATCATTATATTTATTCTTTTATTTATTATCATTTTCTTCTTATAAACCATAAAATAATTTGTATTAAATTATCTTGTTTGTTTTAATGTGCTGTTAAATATTTCTTAATTCCATCTGGTGTTGGTTCAATGGTGTCTTTGCCTGGTTTCCAATTGAGTGGACAAACTGCTCCATGTTCATCACTGAATTGAATTGCTTTAACTATTCTGATTGTTTCTTCCGTTGATCTTCCAATTCCATCATCATTCATTTGAATGTATCTTACTTTTCCTTTATCATCAATGATGACATATCCTCTTCTTGCAATTCCTGCTTCGACATTTAACATTCCATATTTGATAGAAATGCATCTCTTAATATCTGATACTAATGGGAATGTCAACTTTCCTACTCCTCCTTTACTTTTATCTGCTTCACACCATGCTTGATGACAATAAACTGAATCTACACTCACTCCAATAACTTCACAATTGATTTCTTTCAATTGTCCTGCAAGTTCACTATATCCAATCATTTCTGTTGGACAAACAAATGTCCAATCCAATGGATAAAACAACAATACAACATATTTTCCTTTATATTCATTAATATCAATCTCTTTGATTGAACCACATGGACAATATGCTGGTGCTTTAAATTCTGGTGCTTCTTTTCCAATTTGTGCTTTTTCAAATGTGTTTATAAATTTCTTAAATGCTTTTATTCTTGGACAACAACATTCTTTACAACATTCTTTCTCTTGACATTCTTTTTTACAACACTCTTTTTGTTGATTGCAAGACATTTGACTGATTGAATTGATGAGATTGTGGTGATGATGAGATGTTTAAATGACAAATGAACTACCAAAATCATCTTTACTTAACTAAAATAAAAATGTCGTCATCATCACTTCTGCATTATTCTCATTATGGTAATTATTCAATTTTCAAACAACTTATAATGAAAGAACTGGTAAATATAAAACAAAAATGACAAGATAAAAAGAAGAAAACGGAGATACACACATCCACACATTCTAAATGAATCTAATGAAGAATAAGATGAGGAGAAAGAGAAATGTATTGGAACAAAACACCAATAAGAAATAAGAAATAGAAAAGAAATAACAACTAGAAATAATAATGATATGAATAAGAATATTGAAAATGGCATAATAGAATAAATTTCAAATATATAAACATAAAGAAGAAATAATGATTTACAAATAAATAGAAAATGAATAAAACAAAAGAATATAATAAGAAATAATATAAAACAATAAGAAATGTATTATCAACGAA